AGGAAGGAAGGAAGGAAGGAAGGAAGGAAGGAAGGAAGGAAGGAAGGAAGGAAGGAAGGAAGGAAGGAAGGAAGGAAGGAAAGAAAAAAGTAGAGCAGGGTAAAGGGATGAGAAGTTAGGGGAGGGGGAGGTGTGGTTTGATTTCAAATAGGGTGGTCATTATTAAGTGACATTTGAGCAAAGATTTGCAGGAGGTGGGGGAAGTAGCCATGTGGACATCCCAGTGGAAGTTTTCCATTCAGTCCTTGCGAATTAGAAGGTGAATAGCAAAAATACACACCCAAATTCTGAACAGAGGGAGATAATATCTAATAATGTGTTGCAGCTGCATTGCTTATCTTGTGTTTAGTCTGGTGTGATATTAAGATTTCTCTAGAGAACACATGCTACATAGATCAGAAAAGGTGGCTTGGAAATTCTCAGTGGGTATGCATTAGAGATGCATAACCATCTACGAAATAGAAGCAGATATTTTTCTCAAGTTGGAGAAAAGAACATTTAAGTAAATTGTAAATGAAGATCAAGTATAATGTGAAGGAGATTGCCTGAGTCTTTGAAATAACATCAAAATTACTAGTGTAATTCAATTTAGCTGTGTTCCCCAATAGTAAACAGCATTAGAGAAAAAACTGGGTGTTCAGAAACCTTATATTGTCATTGCAGTAAATGGGTGAGTTAACATTAGTATCTTCTTTGCTCTTTTACCGTATAAATAGGGTTATGATGATCTTATCAAAAGTCCTTCATTAAGTAATGAGATTTGCCCAAACAGAGTGCTGATTGATTTTCAAGTATTCACTCTGATAATTAGGAAAACAATATTATAATAACATGGTAAGAGTAGTTGGAACATTTAATAATGGGGTTATTATTTATTCACAACCTAAATTTGCAGCTTTCTTTCCTATAACTTTTATTTGAATTGACATCTGAAGAGGAGGTCCAATCAACCAACTTATTTAGAATACTTTCAGAAAGAGCACATTGTTATTAGTGTCAAGGGTTTTTCAAAATAGTAATTTTCTGGCTCTAGAAAATCACTGAGTTGAAGCAAGGAACAATTAACAATAAGAGTGATCAGCCCCACAGTTCACTTATGTTTTAAACTATGGTGCATCTGACTTATTCCCAGAGAAAATTGGTTGTGGAATATGAAGAATGCATTTATATATTTGGTTTTTGGTGCGTGCGTATATATAAATATTTCACCATTTTGTATAGCTAACCATAATTTCTTTTTCTTCCTTCTTTTATTATTATTATTATTATTATTTGGTTTTAGGTATATTTTATTTATTTATTTATTTTATTGAAACATAGTTGCTTATACATATCTGTGAGGAATAGTGTTGAATATCAATACTTGTGTGCAATATGTGATGCTCAAATCAGGATAGTTAGTATATTCAACATTATGCAATGTAATCATTTTTCGTGGCCCTTTACCAATGCATTTATTTACGTATTTGTTCACATTTACCTGGCCTCATCCAGCCTATGCCAGTGTATCAGTTCCCACTTTTCCAAGCAAAATGAGAGATTGTATCCTCCTGGGTTTTTTTGTTGTTGTTGTTGTTTTTTGTCAGTGGCACTAGAAACACTTTTGTCATAGTAGTTCAACACATACAGTTTCCTCTGCCAGCAAAATTGCTTTTAGTCTTTGATATCCTTTCCAAAAACAACAACCAGAAGGCGCTGAAGGCTTTTAACCATCAAGTGATTTTATGTTACATTTTATCATAAACATTGAATTAAATGACTAAGTAATTGAAAGCTACTCATTGATTCAAATTGACTTTGAAGAAAAGCAGTTTACTCCAAAACTCAGAATTCGAGGCACGTACGTTGTGAATCACACATCTCCATCTATCACTCTCTTTGAAGCTCTATGGATTCGTGAGTAGCAACTCTGAAGGAATTCGTGGAGGTTTACATATGGTTTGAGGCAGAGAGCCAGGCACCGCTGCCCTGGTCGATATTGCACTTGCTTGTGCTGAATGATGGAGACACATGTGTAGACTCAGCTCCCACCACTTCTGTGTGAATGGAGCCAGCCCTCTGCCTCAGCTGACCTGAGCTGCGGTTGTTAACTACATTCCAAAAATTATAGACGATTTCAGCAATAAGTTTGATAAAAGCTAGGTTGAGTTCTGTTGGTTTTTTATTTACTTTTACATTTAAATTAACCTCCTAAAACCACAGGGATAGATGTAAATGTGCCAATTTGTTTTTTGGGGGAAAAGGTGTAAAGTTTATTTTTGGTACTTCAGATAGTCTCTAACAAACAATTTGTCAATTTCAAAAAAAAAGTATAGATGGTCTGTCTTGAACCTTTGAAACAATCCAGTTTTGTTTATTATTCAAAATACCTCATTTAAAAAATACCTCTTTATAGTAGATTATTGCCTTTTTTTTCCACATAGAAAGGTGGCAGAAAGACAAATTGTCTGATTATGAGGTGGAATGCTAATTATTGGAAAGATTCATGGGAACATACAAAGAATGTGGTATCAACATTCCTTGTTGCAAGTATATCTTCTAAACAGTACAAATACTATATTTACCTTCACTCTTGACAAGCTCCAATTATTACAGTCCTACTTTCCCCTAAGTGGTAGCTTGGCACGTGTTCCTTGCTTAAATTCTTCCATAATTCCATTTTTGAATTATACTTCTGTTTTTGTGACAGTTTTCATTCATCTCCTTGGCCTTTGGGTTCACAATAACAGAAAAAGGAAATCCAATTGCTGTGTTCATGTAAATACATAAATGAGCACACACAAGAGACAGAGAAGAGTACTACATCTGCTTTCGCTCGGATCAATATTGCATTAGCTTGCAAGACTAAGGTCTTGCTGTTGTTCAGGAAAATTCAATACTTCTTTGTATTATAGTCGAAAAAGCCTTTCACTCTCCTATCTTGAGGGCTCCTAAAGAGAGTTGCACGCTGCTGTCCGGGGGCAATGTTCTAAAGGACAGAAGGCAGATTTACCCAGCGTGTCTCAAACATTATAAACCAGTGAGTCATGGAGACTCTCTAAATTATGAGTCTGCATTAAACAAGTTCTCTTCTGTTTTCTCTTTCAAAGAGACTCCCCCTTCCACCCTCCCCAGGAATTGGGTGATAGTGGAGGGGGAGGGTCTATGGCCAGAGCTTCTAGGGGGAGCACAGCTTCCCTTGTGTGCTTATGTTCTTGGGAAGGTCAGGAGCTGTGGCGATCAGAGGATGACCCCAAAGCTTAAGATTGTAAAAGTTTGCCCAAACACTAAAGAAAAAGATTATGAAACCACACTGATGGAATTTAAATGAGGGGGAAACGTTAGGGAGTATGAATGGACTCTACACCTCCCCTTTAAAATTGCAGACCAGAAATGACATTCTTTTTGAGGAAAGGAAAGACCTTAGTTTCTTGCTCAGCAATGGTATTTTCATGCACATGTGTGGGCAACTTTGAGCTCTACAGAGAAGGAAAAAATGTTGAATTGGTGGTAGGGCCACATCCAGAATGAAGAAAATCTGGCAAAGAACCAGCACTTGTAGAAAATAAGCCAGGATTAAAGCTGAAGAGAAACAAAAAACAGTAAGAATTTCATCTCCTGAGATGCTTTCTTCTGCCAGCCAAGAAGCCTAGTATAACAAAATTCTCTTCTCATAATGCAAAGGTATCGTCCATGGCAATGTGATGCCCCATAGATAATCTGTATCAATTCCCCTCACTGGGTTATTCTCCTTGGTTTTTTGTTTGTTTGTTTGTTTGTTTGTTTTTATGATAAACAGTCTATGCACACAATATGTTTGGTTCTTGGAGAGTGAGGGATTGCAGCAGAGAGAAAATTCTGAATTCAATCAAATCAATTGCTTTGAACACATCGAGAAGTTATCAGGTATTCAAAGTAACCCGTTTTGCACTAACTCAAATATATGAACCACTTTGCTTTAGTGTATATATGTATGTATTTTTTTGTAAGAAGATTGGAGCTGAAAACCTGTTAGCCAAATGTCTGTACTTGCTAAAAAGCAGGGTGCTCAGATTACCTGCCTACTAGAAACTCAGCTGGTACTTGCGGCCCCAGGGAGATCAATTCTTGTGGGCTTTGCTTTTGAAATCACTTGAAGCATCTCCTAGCTCTTATCCACTGCCTTCTGCGTGCAAGCTGCACACACAAGCCTGGGACTACCACAGCCCTATGGAAGGCCCGTCTCTCCGGGGAATTGTCCACCTACTGTGCTTCCTTAAACAAAGCAATCATTCTTAGTTGAAATGCACAGATCCATGGATTTCTTGGAGGCGAAAACAGTCCACACCAGATTGTCCTTCTAAGCCCAAACCATCTGGCCTGTCTTTACCATATGTGCAATGAAAAAAAGTAAAGAAAAAAGGACTTTTTTTCCGTCTTGCTGATGATCTGGACAGGGAAATGGAAGGATTCTCCAAGTCCAGGGGGCTTCTGAACTGTTCATAAAGCAACATACAATCACTCTGATAGCCAAGGTTGTCTACAGTGCTTCAACAAATAGCAATTTGACTTTAACACAAATTAGTCAGTGTTCCCAATCATTTGCTGCCTTGGGTACACTCTTTTCTTGGTATGCACAGTCAAAAGCTGCTTAGGGCCATCTCTTAGCCACTGGACACAGGTGCAGTGCAGCCACCGCTCAGAACTGGGAAAGAAAAAACTGGGACAGAAGTCAGAAAGATGCATTTCTGTTTCATTTTGATTATAACTTACCATTACATATAAATTAGTGACATCTATAGTCACTAATTTTTAAAAAATTGTTACTATTATTAATTAGTCTTTAGATAAAGCCCTGAGTAGGACATGATCCATTGTCCTTTGTCCAAGTCTGCATAGATATTTATCACCATAAGAATCCAGGGCTAAATGATGGAATGAGGAAGGAAGACAGGATTACCCACTCCTGGATCAGACCCCTGCTACTTCTGTGGCTCCCAAGCATCCACCTTCCCCGGGATCTCCTCCTAGGGCAGCAGAAGTGAGGGCAGGCATCTCCAAGAGAACTCGCTGACCACAGTCTCACTGGAGTCCTTTGGCTCTGGGCTGTGTGTGCAGTTTGGTCCCAGTGATGAATGCCAAGGTACCACTTGACAGCCCAAATCTCCTTCTTTGCAATTGAAGTAAGCATTTCGATTCTGTTCCTGAAAACAATCCTGCTCATTGGGGAATGTGGTTATGCCTGTTACTGCCCTTCTGAGCATACTTTAAAATCTTCTCCGCAAACCCAATCCAACATGTTCACTGCAAACCAATTAACTAGGGAAGATTTGCTTTGGGGTGGAAAATGCTTCTGGGTTCTGCTGGGGCCCATGTCTGTAAATGGTTATTCTTGCATCTACTATAGAGGAAAAGACATTTTGACATTCTCTGTATTTTTCTCTTTCCAGTTGGCCCTCACATTGGGCGTTACTGTGGACAGAAAACACCAGGTCGAATCCGTTCCTCATCGGGCATTCTGTCCATGGTTTTTTATACTGACAGTGCCATAGCAAAAGAAGGCTTCTCAGCAAACTACAGTGTCTTACAGAGCAGCGTCTCAGAAGGTCAGTGTTCATCTTGCAAAGCCCTGGGGTAAATACTCGCTGTTATTCCTTCTTACACACCTGCGGCACATGAAACACCAAAGAAATGTTTTCTGAATTAGGGTGTCAAGTGTTTGTTTTTCTCTTTTAAATGTTTTTGATGAATACCAATAGGAAGAACTATTTGGTATGCTTTCTTCATAAAATTGTGGCTGAGAAGCCTGCTGTGAGCCTCCGAAATTATGGGAGGAAGTGAGAAATGGCAAAACACTGCCTTGAAACAGTGAAATATGACCAGACACTTACCTGGAACCCTCGAATGTGTAATAGGCTGAGAATGGTAAAAGGACGGGCATTAATGCCAGGTGATAAGAACAAATCTGCAGTAGTTCATTGACAGAGGTGTCAAACAGAACGGATGGCGAGGGGTGGTTCGGTTGTGGAAGACCCTGGGGTCTTCCATCTTCCATTATGTTTTCTTTCTTACATGAATGAAAGCAGGTGTTTATGTAAAAGAAGCACATTTTAATTTCTATTCTACTTTTCCATCAAAGAAAAAAAGTAAAATTATTTGTATATTACAAAAATACTAAACTAACTCAAACTTTTCTTAAAGTTTATGTGGTCGCCAACTCTTTTAATGGCTGGAGAAAAAACTGAAAGAACAAGAATAAATTGTTTGTGTGTTTCATCAGTTCTGGCTGCCAGATTGTAAAGCATCAGAGAGAGGACGAGGGGTGTTTGGAGACCCATCCTACAGATAGGCTAGTATCTCCTCCACCAGATGCCCCGTGCAAATGAAAAGGCCAATGAAATTTCAAAATTGGATTTGTGCTTCATTTATTTGATTAAATTATTTATGTATTTCTGTGCCTGTAAATATTTTTTATGTTACAAATAACAAACCTAAGCTTAAAAGTGTGAAACCAGTGAAAGAAAGCTTTTTATGCCATAAACCTTATCTGTTATGATAGAAAAGTCAGAAAATGTACAATTTTGGCTAGTAGAGATTTTCTGGATGGTTGGGAGTCTTCCATTTAATCTCTAAAGCTTTTTTTCCCTTTTGTATTTTGGATTCACATTTTTCTAAAATTGATTGTTCATCTTCCAATAGCAAACTGAGTGTGTTAGGCCTAATGGTATATAAGTTTTGTTAATTCATGGTGATTTTTGTAAGCATTATTATTTTAAGCTGTAAAACTGTGGTGCTCCTTAGGGCCATATGATACTGCAGTTTACACCTGATGGATACTTTTGTAAATAAAGTAAGCTAATAAAGTAAGCTAATTATGTTAATAAAGTAAGCTAATTATGTTAATGACCATGAGCAGGCCAGGGGCAGAAGACATGAGAACTAAAGGAGACAGGGAGAATGAGTGGCCTAGGTGCTACCTGCAAGGGATCTGAGAGACAGAGAGTTACTTACAATCTACTGTCCACTGAAAATGAACTGTAAATAAACATAAAGCCATCTTCAGTTTTATTAGATAGAGGAAATAATTCAATACAATAATTTTATTTAAATACAACTTTTGACGTGCATCCATGTGACAGACAGACCACACACACACACACACACACACACACACACACACATACACAAACCCCAACACACACATACACAAACCCCAACACACACATATTCAATTTTGAAAATAAATCAGAATTTTTCATCATTTCGTAATAAATTTCACATAGTATTGTTGTCAACCTAGGTTCACTAGGGAAAATCATTAATCACTGTGATTATCTTCATAGTCTTAAAATATTGCCATGAAAATGCAAATATCGGTGCTATGTTCCAATAAGTCACTTGCTGCTGTCTTTTGTAAGTCTTTGAGCACATGAACTCTGTAGTCTGACAGATTAAAAATAAAATGCATCTTAGGTCTCGTATATTTTGATGACTTTGGGCCATATGTTTCCCTTCAGATTTCAAATGTATGGAACCTCTGGGCATGGAATCAGGAGAGATTCATTCTGACCAGATCACAGCTTCTTCCCAGTATAGCACCAACTGGTCTGCAGAGCGCTCTCGCCTGAACTACCCTGAGAATGGGTGGACTCCTGGAGAAGATTCCTACAGAGAGTGGATACAGGTACGTGGTGTAAGACCTGGCATATCTCGTGTTAAAGAAGACTTTGGCCATCTCGAAAGGGTGTTGGAAAAAAGCAGTGCCATGACAAATGCCCTCACATGAGAAGGATTACAGACACCAAGTGTGGTCACTGCAGAACGGTCTCATCACTACACAGTCAGAGAAGAGCAGGTCTGGCTGACAGCCCTGAAAAACCATTTGTCTTCTCGATTCTTATATGAGGGTACTTCAAAAAGTTTGTAGGAAAACAGAATTAAAAGATAATGCAACCCTTTTCATGAAATTTTTGAAGACCCCTCATGTATTATTCTTCATGGAATTTGTGTACAGGTGTCTCACTTCGATAACAACTAAAAGATCTGGTTTCCCAACAATGACACATTTTCTATTGGTATGCTTCTTACTTCAACATATTTTGATTTTCCTGATGAAATATATGAATTCTATTTGTAGACATGAATGAAATAATTGTTTCCAAGGGTACGGTTTTCTGTGTGTAGAAGAAGAGATGGGAGGGGTTGGGTGTATCTGTCCATATAAGCCCATATAACACACACCCAAGAAGGGGTTTAATTGAGAGTACTGGTCTCTGTTGACTGTGTATTCAATATGTATATGTATGTATGAAAGGTACATATAGTCATTCCTCGGTATTTGTGGGGGATTGGTTCTAGGACCTCCCGTGGACACCAAAATCTGAGGACACTCAAGTCCCTGATATAAAACAGGTAGTATTTGCTTATAACCTATGCGCATCCTCCCGTATACTTTAAATCATCCCTAGATTACTTATAATACCTAACACCATGTAAATGATATGTTAATAGTTGTTATACTGTATTGTTTAGGGAATAATGACAAGGAAAAAAAGTCTGTACATGTTCGGTACAGGCACAACTTTTTCCGAATATTCAATCTGCAGATACAGAGGGCTAACTGTATTTGGGTCCTCATTAGTGATGTTGCTTCTGCTTTCCTCACTTTGCTCTGATCTGCCCATTTCTCATCCCCAGCACCAGCCCCAGTGCCTAAACTTACCCAACCTTGACATCTGGATATTCCCACCCAAAGCCTGATGTTCATGTTCATGAGTTTTTCACTCACTGTCAAATGAAACATCCATATCTGGGTCTGGGGTTAAACTGTGGGCAAATTATACAAAAGGTTATTTGCTAAAGGATCCAGGCTTCCTTTTCTGGAGAGTAGGCAGAGCCTGTCTTATATCCATTGCTAGATATATAAAAATGACTAATTCCCAGAGAGAGTTTCTAAGCAAGAAAAAAGCCAAGATGATTAATCCTCTACTTTCCACATTTATTGCTGTTTCAGTCTTTTGAGCACAAATACCAGATTTTGTTTTACTTTGGAAAGGTCAATATTAGTTTAACATACACTTAAAGTGAAATGGCCTATTACAGGAGACTGAACTCATGCTAACCTCTAAATGATAACACTGAGAAATGTGTAGAGGGTGAGAAAAGATGAGACTTTTACCTTGGGATTGCTGAATCCACCTCTAGATTAAGTCAGAAATGAAATGAATTTGCCTGTGTCAAAATAGCTCTTGGTAACTTGTTTTTCCACATCCCCAAACCAACAAGCAGTCAGGATGATTGACAGACGTGCCTCCAGAGGAAAGCTTATAAAGCATGTTTGCATGATAATGTAGTCCTATTCTTGGTGATGGGGAGAGCGCTCAGTAATGTAGGGACCCGGGTCTTGCAAGAGTCCTGAAATTGCAACCATAGCAATTCTTCTGTGCAAGGCAATTCTATGTCAGTAGAAACATAGAAACTTAAATGGGTTCTCACAAAGCATTTGTCAGTGTTGGTATCATTCTTCAGAGTCAGGCACACTTTGAGATTGTCCCAGAAGAAAAAAAAAAATCTCAAATTATCCAGTTCTTTCTGTCAGTGAGAAAGTATGGTCAGGAGAAGTTGGGTAACCCCAACCCCCAAATCAACAAGATTCATTTCTTGCTCATGGTATCCTCCATCACTGGTCCAGTTGCACTGCTGCTCCACCAGACTCAGGACCTGGGTCTTCCACCAGGACCCAGACTAAGGCAGCAGCCAGCCTGTGAAATATTGCCTGTCACCAAGGCAGAGGGCAACAGAGAGCCTGGCACACCATGCTGGCTCTTGAAGTTCCTTGGCAGAGCACTTCCACCCGCATTCCATTGCCAAAGCACATCACACTGCCACACTTACCTTCCAAAGGGCAGCAGGAAGGTGCAAGTCCACACATGCTGGAGAGAGAAGAGCTTTCTAGAAATATTTGGTGAACAGCATGAATGACAACTGTGCTGTGCATAGGCTACTTATCATTTACTGAGTGCTTACTATGTGGCCTGACCTGTGTTAAGTCCTTGACATACTTTTTATCTAATCCTCACCGCCATCCTGGGAAGGAGGTACAATTATCCTCATTTTGAAAATGAGAACACTGAGATTTGGAGAGATTAGTAAATGCTCAAGGTCACAGTTAGTGACTGAGTTTGCAAACAAGGGCTGCTGGACCCCAGCCCCTGCTCTGTGCACTACAGTGTGCAGTATCTTTGTCGTTCATTACCACACATATAAGTTTAAGTACATCTTATGAAACATCGGTCACCTCCCTTCAGACTTTTCCTCATGCTGAGAAGGCTCACACAGAGATAAGTTGGGTGCAGGGACCTTGTCCTTGATTCCTCTGAAAGGAAAATGTCACAAATGCTTCAGGTTCACCTTGAAGTAAAATTATCTTTTTTCCCTTCAGAGCTCAATGGGCTAATTTGCATGCTCGTGATGTCTGTGTACATAGTGGGAGCTGTTATCATCCACCGATCACGTAATTATGAATAATTCTATGTGTTTCCAGCTTTTGTGAAACTCCTCGGAAGTGGTTGGCTTGTTGTTTTCATTGGGTAGATGTTTTATAAATTAAACAACAAGTACAGCATCATTTAGACCAGGGCAAGAGGCATCTACCTCCCATCAAAGGAACATTAGCACGCGTACATTTTTATTTATATGTACATAAGTATGCAGATGACATTTGTTTTCTTTTTCTGCTTTTTCACATTTTGCATGGAATGTGCCCCCACAAAACAAGTTGCTGTAGCAACAACGAGGACAAATACTTGCATGTGTTAATTTAATAAGGTGATATTGGAAGCCTACTTTCCTTCAAGACAGGAACAGTCTTTTGGTTCCCATTGTTTTCTCTAGGAAATGACTGACTGACATAAAAAAAAAAAAAAACAATGCATCATTAACCATCCATATGAATGTCCACATTGTTGCTTCCTGTGAGATCTGTTGTCTGCCAGAAAGCTTAAAAACAAGTCAAGGAGCTGTTTGAGAAGTTGTATGAGGGGAAGTCCCACATTGAAGGTCTGCACACGGCCATATCCTGATCAAAAAGGCCACTTCATATCCTGCGCCATTAACAACTCTAAATTGTCAATGACAGAGTTAATCACACTGTGAAATTTGCCCATTTTTTTTCAGAGTATTCCATTCTGTATTCTGTGTCCTAGAGCGGCCTATCTTATTGTTAATTTAATCTTTCTTCTTCCTTTGTTTCTGGCTAAATAATCAAGGATTCAAAGTAAAGACTCAGTTTATCCATGGTACAATAAAAATTCTTACTTTTCAAGCACATCATTAGAGCCCAAGCCATTAAGCTCATTGAAACTGAGTTTCTTTTCCTATAAAATAAAGATAATGTAGCCTTCACTCTATTTAAGCTCTAGCAGTCTATGATACTATGAATCTCAGAGAAATGCATTCTCAGTTTTTTTCTTTTCATCTCTCTGAACTAAGTCCACAGCATATTGTGTCTGTTCAGGAGACATGTTCTCATAGATCCTAAATGTAGCCATTCACACACAAAGCAAAATTTAATTCGTTAATTATTTCAGTGTTTTATTAATGATAGTGTTCACCACGCTGTAAACAGATTTATCCTTCCAGCTTTAATTAAAGCTCTTGGGAGTGCTTTTCTCCAAACAACTGTGACTTTTTCCTGATTAAAATGCCAGGAGACAAAAAAAAAAAAAAAAGAGTTATAATGCCTGGGTGGGATATGAACTTTGTTGATCCAAAGAAATAAAAATCGCACCAGGGACTAATCGATTACCACACTGTCCAGTGACTTTAAAAGTACAATTACTTGACAGACTAGCTCAGACTGCAACCCTATTCTTCTCCAAATTTGGGGGCCCTGTCTTTTGTGGAGAAAAATTTGATGCTAGATTATTTATGCCTTTACTTATTCCCAAAGAGCAGAAAGCAGTTGGCTTCTAAACCACATCCTGTTTGGTTTGGTAAATCAACCCTATTATGGATTAATCACATGGCAGAAGGAAACTTCCAGAAAGACCGTCTGTAGCTGTTAGAATACATCAGCAAGCCTCTGAAGCGAAAGTGGCTTCATCTTCTGGTACAGATGTTCATTCTGAAGTGTGAGGACAAGGAAAGCTCCAGAAGAGAGGAGCTAGAACTAATCCTTGGAAGAAGCTCGTTTCCATGTTTTCCTTTTGCATTATTTGTAATCCTGGGATAATATTAAAGTCTTCCACATTATCTCCCTGAAGGACTTTGAAAGCAGACACCACTAACAAAAGCCCTTAGTGTGTGCGCTAATGAGATGGGCGGAACTGAATTAAAACACACCCGCAACAGCACACACACACACACACACACACACACACACGCACACACAATCATGTCCACTCCCCCATGAGGGTAGTGTCAAAAAATAAATAAATAAATAAGGCCTCCTTACAAGTTCAATGTATGAAACTAGTCAAATCCAAGTGGGCTTTAGATGGCTTGATGAATTTTAAAATTAATTGCGAAACGTGTTCTGACAACAAAACCTTACGTTTCAGTACGTGCCTTTCTTTATAAAGGCACCTTTTCATGCATATCCTATTTTAGACTTTAGAAGGTGAGGAAAGTAAAACAGAGATTGTTATCCTCATCTTCATGTGAGAAAATTGAGCGCCAGAGAGA